TTATTTATATAAGATATAATTGACAAGCCAACTTGGAGCGTCAGTAGCCTAATGGAAGAGTGCGGGCCGTGAACTCGAAAGGTCGTGGGTTCGAATGCGCCATTCGATTACTGTCGTGAACCACTTCTAACACAAGCATTTTAAGCTTGCCAGAAGTGGTTAAAGGGAATATTAGTAATGTTTAATAGAATTACTAGTATTTACAAAAAAACTAAAAATCTACCTGCTGATAAGTGGCAATTGAAGCCTCTTGACACCTGTAACAGATTTTAAACATAGAAGTTAGCCTTCTTTGTTTAAAGCGTTGAGTTGTCGCCTTTGATGACTAAGATGGAATGCCTCTCAACCTATAATAAATACTGGCCCACTATTCTCTTCGGACCGGAACGTATCAAGGTGAATATTAGCCACAAAAATACTCCTAGGCAGAGAAGTAGACCTACCACTTAGTTAAAATTTAGGTTGCAGTTGCTAGGAGTTAGCCCGTTTGTCACTTTCATATCATAAAATAGTGGTTTATTATGAATGTCACCTTCTTCTTCGTTCTTCAAACCAAAGTTTCAATTACAGCAGCCGGTCTCAACGTAGACTGGCCACAGATGGCTTGTGGTGCTGGGAGGATAGGATAAATAGTGCTCAAATGTATGCACAAGCACAGGTGCACTCTCTAGTCCCCCACTCATGTAGTCTTATAGAACGATAGTTCGACATGATCTGAGAGAGATCGGGTGAAACACAGACAACCCCATGACTCCGGGGCGCTATTTTATGAGAGAAATATTAAATAACTAATTTTTGGGACGAATCAGAATTTGAATCCGGTACCGCATGAGCAGCAGGCGCGTTTACGACCACTAGATCAAAGAAGCGCCTGGGGTCTGACGCCAAGGGGATAAGTCTATGGCTGCTAGACATAGCCTTACCCCTTGCAGAAAGGATGTATCGGGCCCAAAAAACAGTTATTATGTTTTTCTGTTAATAAAGCACCTTTCTTTCCCCGGTTATGTCGGATTACCACGCCATCGGAGTATGAGTATAAAGGAATAGACAATGCACCTGTGCTTCCGCACACATTTGCGTACTATAATCCTATCCTGCGTAGATGTCTTGTCTCCGTTAAGAGAACTACAAGAGCTAAATGACCTCGAATGACGAACGCACACAATTACACAATTTCTGTTTTACACAAATTCAGACGTTTAGGCACACATATACACGTGTTATGTTCAGAAATAAGAATATGAGATTTAAAATAATCTATTGATTGGACTAAAAAATTAAAACACTATTACTTTAATATGTTGCTAGTAGAATAATCTGACACCAAATGAAAATGATTGTATGTATATTACGGCTTTTAAATGTTAAGAGAAATTTTTAGAGGTATCTTTGTGATTCTTTTTCTATCTTATCAAAATAGTAGTATTATGTTTTAATACACTATCTAACTAGCATATATCCTTAAAAGTTTTACATATTTTTCTGATTTTGTTTACTACAGTGGATCATATACTTTAAGGCATTATAAAACTTGCGTTTAGTTCCTGTAGTCCCCTTAAGACTGAGCGTTGTGACCGAAATTCGGTCTGTAAAACGTTATAAAGCAAATACAAGCTTCATGTGTGGTATATATATTAGGCATATATTGACATATTGCGTATATTCAGCTCCAAGTACACGCCGTAGATGTATGCCGGAACATGCCGTACTAATAGAATTTTTAAAAACATCAAAGGTCAACAAACTCATTTGTAGGTTGATTCACGTGTTTGATGCAAGATCATCAACCTAAAAATCGAACAAGTGCGAGTCAGACTACGCCCTGAGGGTTCCGTGTAAAGTTAATTATGTATGTGGATAGACCATGCAACCCGGGAATTATAGATAAGGTAAGTGCAATTTATACATTTGTGAAAGAACATTACTCTAATTAAGTAATGTATATTCTTGCACCGTGTAGTGGCGGTGTAAGAAAATCCACTACTACATATCATCCCGTGGGTGTCGTACGAATTAACAAAGGGAAACAAAATCGGAGATGGGCAGCAGCGTCTTCCTAATAACGATTAAAAAATAAGAAACCTTCTGTTTCCAACCCACTTACCAAGAGTTGCAACTATGGCAAATATCCCCCTATGAGGTAATCTATGGGGGAGGCCTAGGTTCAACAGTGGACTTTAAAAGGCTGTAACGGTAACGGATTTTTCTAATGCAAAAGTAAGTCAGATAAAATGACAAACTTAACATAGCAGTGGATAAAATGTTCTCCCACACATAGCTCCACATTTTTTATAGGATAAAGTTGACCAACAAGCAAACAGTCCACCTAATGATAAGTGCTTGCTGCAGCCCACAGACATCTCTATCTATTATCAATTAAGAATCAAAATGCACATGCGTTGTCACTCTTGAGGACTAGGATGGAGTGCCTCGTTTCGAGTAAAAAAGATCTCTGGTTGTCTACACTCACCATACGAAACACAGCAGCGTGAAACTGCTTTTTTACGCTGGTTTTCCATGAGAAAGTGATCCTTCCCCGATCGAGCCTACCCATTCGTACTACAACTATACCACTAATATAGCCGCAGCGTGGTTCTACCACGTACAAATGACTCTACCAAATGCCGGTTAATGCTCATACTGCAAATGTAGGTTTGTTATCGCAAATATTTTTATAAGTGATACTATGAAAATGTTTTTTGCGATAACTACAAAATAATTATTTACAGGAAATTTCCTTTACTTGTGCTGAAAAACTCTCTTTCTGCCACCATTTTTTTTGCTTTTTGTTTTATGATCCTAGGTAAACGAAAAGTACTCTATCGGTTTTGATGAGTGAATTTCCGAGTACAAAATTCGTGACATAAATGTCCGTAACTTTTGTTTGCGTTGATTTAAAACCTTGAATTATATATAACTCTGAGGACTGTAGACCTTGGTATTTTATATTGATATTGATACTTGATACCTGTAACTGATAAAAAGGTCAAAGTGATCCTTTAAGGGTTCATTTTTTGCGTTTTGAGGTACGGAACCCTAAAAATGAGTAAAATAACAAGTACACATTATTATCCTTATCATCCAATAATTATGGTTACTCATAAACATAGGTCTGTAGACGAACATTGACCGCTCTTAGGTCGAAAGGATTTGTCGAAATCGCTTCGTGCATCTTTCCGTATATTGGGTATTATAGAAGCCTCACCCACACTAATCTCGGACATTATGCCTTGTCTCAGAATATAGCTGTTTCATCGTTTGTAGAATACCTCTCGTAGCACCGCCATTGTACATTAAATCCTAAAATGTTAGTTACATTTTTTTATAGAATAAGGGGAAAAACGAGCATACAATCCACCTGATGATAAGTTTACTTGTGACCCATAGAGATATCTACGTCTACCTTCGTTTCAGAATCAAAATGCAGAAGCGTTGTCACGCCTAAGGACTAATATGGAATGCCTCGTTACCAGAAAAAGGGTCTCCGGTTCTCTGCACTCACCATGAAAATATTCTGCTAGCATATTCTGCTGTTTTACACTGGTATTCTATAAGAGTGGTTCCACACACACAGTCATATATAGCTGCAGCATGGCTTTACCACGTAAAAATTATAACATTTGTGACGTTGCGAAATTATAATATTTACATTTTCGGTGATTGATGAATGTACCCAATGTTTTTATAATAATTTCCTATGCTCATAATATTAAAAGTAACCACGTTAATTTAAATGAAAGTAAGCCTATAATGACTCCTAGCCCTTGAAATATTGTAAGATATATAGTTTAGTTATTAAAAACACTAAAAATAAATATTGTATACACGGTCCAATGGAAGAGCAGAGTTACCCAACACAAGCATTACTACATGATTCCTGGGCGACTCTGGCCACAAAATAATGCTTGTAGAGATAAGTCAAAGAAATAAACAATTTTATTTTATTATTTTATTTTATTAATGAGCGTGTGGTAGCGATATAAGAATAACCAATACCCCATATCATACCGTGATCATCGTAAGAGGCGACAGAGGGAAACAAACCAAAAGATGGGCAGCAGCATCTTCCTAATAACAACTAAAAATAAACAACAGCGATTGTTAACCTGTCTGCCAAGCGTGGCAACTATGGCAAATATGACCCCTATGAGGCAATCCATGGTGGAGGTCTATTCTCAGTAGGGACATTTAATAGGCTGTAACGGTAATGGGTGGGCGTTCTTTTCCTAGAAGTGGTTCAGGAGTAGAGAATCGGGTTCGAATATAAAAGTTCAGATTAACAATACATACTCCATAACACCAAAATACCAGATTTCATCATTATCATCATCATTACAGCCTTTCATAAGTCCACTGCTGAACATAGGTCTCCCCCAAAGAATGCCACAAAGCACGGTCCTGAGCCACCTGCATCCATCGATTTCCTGCATGTCTTACCAGGTCGTCACTCCATCTCGTGGGGGGTCGCCCAACACTTCGCCTACCGGTACTACTACTAATACCAGATTACCGTCGCTTAAAAAGTAATAATTTTTAACTAGGCATAATTGCAGATTGTACTAAAGTACTATTGCGCAGTAGTATTTTGTTGCATTTAAAGTAAAGGATTAGTCATCTTTACTAAACTGCTCATATTTTTGTTTTCATATCGTATGGCATATGCTTAACATGGATAAGAACAGTGAAAAATATATTAAAAGTATATAAAAAGTCTTAAATATATTTATTATGCATTATTAAAGTGATTCATATTCGACGTTTTCATATTTTCTGTGTTATGTATATAGTAGCATTGTGTCCAATATCTCTAATCGTTTATCAATGGATTCCACTGAAACACTATTAAAAACTCATCAGTGGTACAACACTAACCAATGTTAGCATTCATGTAAATTGATTTGCACTCAAGTAATTTTTTATTCCTGTCAATAACCTAAAATTCTTGAATTTATGAAAATAAAAAAACACTAAAATAAATTAAAATCATTTTTAAATCTCACCTGTCCAATGAATAAATTTCAGGACGCTCGCACAAATCTCTACACGCGAACACTTCAGAAAACTTATTAAAAGCACTTCGCAAAACGATATAACTGAGATCACAACCGCACGGTGATCATTCCATCAATTATCCCGCCAAAAGTTTCACTCATTCACAGAAAATTCAAAACATAAACAAGAGCGTGCGAAGGAGTTTTTATTTCAAAAATATATAAGACGTAGCGCTCTCGGATATTAAAAATTTACGTAGCTTCAAATACACCGAGTACATACGGGCGCACATCGGTGTTCCTCTACAACGACTGAACCGGGGCCGATGGGCGGACCCGTAACATAGATTGAAGCGACGGCTTTGTAACTGAAAGCGTCGCGACAACTTAATTAGACATTTATTTGCACTTAGCATAAGTTTATTATTCATGTATTTACTCTTCGAATTATTTCAATTAATTGTAAACGGAAATCGAGTTTTCAGGCTAATTATGCGACAATCATGTCACTTGACGTTGATTTCGTAATAGTTTAGAAATAAAACTTCTTTAGGCACGGTGGGCTTTTTTGGGAAGGGCAAAAAGCATTGAACTCGCGTGACCGTCACGCTCAGATACATGTATACAAAAATAATGTTTACGCTTGTGAAGTTAAGAAGTTTTCACTTCTGACGTACAGTCCTACGACTAACAGTTTTTTTAAGCTTTTTTGTAGTTTTCTATTAGCGTTAACTATTTTAGAAAATCATATATAACATAAAATGTCACACCTGTCACCCAGACCCTTGAGAAATCCGCCACTCATTTCTGCAGACTAAATTTGCGTTACCAGTCTTTCCTCCTTTATACTTTCTACATGACTAAATCACTGAAGCATTCCTTTCTTAACCTTTGTCATAACTCCTTCTTGCAAACTGTAATTTTCATTTATTTTACAATTTCTCCCTCCATTTTCAGAGTTCCCCCTAACATACTTATAATGACAGTATTTCTACGCTATTGTTTTACACACGCGCTTCTTCTGCCACCCACAACTTTCACTACCATATATTACGATAGGGATTAATACATTCTTCATCATCAGGACCTTCAAGAAAAGAGCGTACTCCATTTTAAAAGGCCGGCAACGCTTCTACAAATCCCCTGGTGTTGCCGATGAGCCGTATGCTCGTTTACCCAATATAAATATAAATCACCTATATAAAAAATTGAACATTCTGATTTCCCACTATATAATAAAGATTCACATTTACTCTGTACCCAGCATTTACTCTTTGCTCAACATCCATGTCATATCTATGATAGATACTCTACACATCTTAAATATACATACTCGTCTACTTGCTTAACCAACTCTCCTTATATTCTTATTTCACATGTCGTTTTACTTTCTTCTTTTCCAAAAACGATCTCTTTAATCTTGCATTCATTTTCATTCCCATTTTCTTCTATGATACTTTCAACGACCGATATTTGCAACTCGCCCGCTGACGACGCAAATATGAATTGATCATCGGCGTACAACAAGCATTTGACGGGTAACTCAGGTGAGTTACCCGTCAAATGAAGAAGGTGGTCGGTGAAAGTGGCTAAGAATAGGTATTCTTAGCCACTTTCACCGACGCTCAAAGTTTACAAACAACGGTCAAAACAATAAAGCGATTGATCTGCCACGAGGAAGCCACTCAACTCTGTCTAACACCTTATTGTGAAAAATCAACTTGGTCCACCCCGCTGCAATCGACAATCTAACATAGAGGTAGAATGACGCTGCAGCTATCATTGCAGCACAAATGCGTCAGCTCGACCGGGGAAGGACTACGCTCTCACAGAATATCAGCATAAAGCGTCTCCCACAGAGAAGCGGCTTGCGGTGGTGGCCGCGGTGGCGGCCAGTTGTATTCGCTTGCAATGTAAGTGAGTCTGCCAGCTCGTGCGGCCATGGCGCGGCATGCAAGCGGCTGGCTGCGGCCGCATGCTCCGCCCCATCTGCCAACGCGTGTGTGTTAGCGAGTACGCGGTCAGTTGCAAATTTTTACAACAGGCCGCGTGAAAAATGGTGCTAAATTCAGATATTTTAATAGAACAGTGCAAAATGATCCAATGCAATAAGACTTCGTCACGGTTTGTCATGTTTACTGAAGTCCGATCGTAGCACAGACACCACAGCGACAACACACCAGGCGCTTCAGGCCGCCACTCCAGCCGTGGTGGTGTGTAGTTGCAGCGGCTGGAGCCGCGGCTCGCGGCTAGCCGCCACCGCAAGCCGCTTGTGTGTGGGAGACGCTTAAAACAGCAGCTTCATGCTGCCGCGTTCTTTAGACGAGTATGAGGATAGTAGACCCTCTTTACTGGTAACGAGAAATTATATCTTAGACTTTAGGCGTGACAATGCATCTATACCCTTTTAATCGAGGATAGATGTTAATGTCAAGGGGCAACAGCATCCACTTACCATTAGATGTGTACCAAATATGTGTTCTTTATCACTTATATAAATAAGAAATACATAACATACATATATAAATATATAAAAAACACTTGTAAAAATCTCAGTTTTGGCTATGTTAAGATTTCAGGACCCTTGACCTAGTGTCCAGGTATTGTATCCACTAGATCACTATCGTGATTGTTAAAACATCCTACATATCACTTACCGCAGAGTAAATTGAAACAGGCAATTTGCATTGCATATAACCCTATTTTTATAATTGAAAGTGTTAAATTGAAACAGCTTAAATTAATTAGATTTTTCAATCATTTTTCTTACAGTATGCTTGCAAACCAGATTACGTCTGCTATGCAAATCAGTTTTAATGCGTAAAAATGTATAAAAGACATCAAACGAGTGTGCTTATATGTGTGTTTTAGGTTTCATTGCATACTGACCAAAGAGTATATTGTCACTACGTTTTAATACTGACTTTGTTGATGTCCTCCACACATTATTGTAAGTAACAACCAAAGAGATACGAGTGCAATCACAACGTTTTAGCAACAAACTGTGTCATAGCACTGACATGACTTTGATGTTCTATTTGATATGTAGTATTTAGTTTTTAAACCTTTATTTTTTAGTCTACTATACTATAAATAATACAATATTATTTAATATATAAAATGTAGAAGTTATTGATTTTATCTATACTATAGTAATATAATTATATATAATAATGGATAAACACAAACTAATGACTTGATTTTAAAAATTCTTGCACCTATAGTCAGATACTATATTTTTCTTTATAACGAAATTCCAATATTGTAAACGAAATTATCAAAAAATTGACTATAAAAGCCATTATAAAATAATGTTCTAGACGTTTATAGAACTTATCAATATCTACAAAAAAGTACAATATGACAATACAATATGTACAATATGGCAGAACAATATTTCCAACTATTATAGTTGAGTGACAATAACAGCTTTTGTGTTCTAAAATTCAATTAATACACTGGTTGAAACGAAAGATGATTACATTCGCATCATGGTATTAACCCTTATTCTGATAAATAATTTCATAATCACGGTTGTTTGCGTAGATGTAAATTCCTCTTTAAATTAATCGGACCTTTTGTTAAGAAGCTATTTCGATTATAAAATGTTAAACGAGAAATTATACGTGGTAGAGTCATGCTACAGCTATATTAATAGTATAGTTGTAGCCCGAATGGGTTGGCTCGACCGGGGAAGGAAAACAGCAGCTTAATGCCGCTGTGAGTGTAGAGAAACGGACACCCTTTTTACTGGATCGCATCTGCTTTTTATTCACAAACGAGAATATATGTAGATGTCTATGGGTAACAGCAACCACTTACCATCACGTGGGCTTTGTGCTCGCTTGGTACCCTTATATTAAAAAACGGAAGGAGAATTCCGCGGTGTGTAACCTGCTTCTTTAGGTTTTTAAAAACTATCATTGTTTCCGTATATGTCATCTGTCATAATCAGAATCAGCTAGTATTATATATAAAGATTTCTTGGAGATTAACTTTATGTAATTTCAAAATAATTTAAATTAAATGATCAATAATAATCGCCACAAATCCAAGATTCAAGAGTCAATTCAAATACCAACTAACAAATGAGCCTAAAGCGACTTAAAATTACGAGTTAAATCTTATCAACATGCCTCAAAATTTCTGAGAGTATTCAAGTACCAGCTGAAAACTATCTATAAGCAGAACCGTGTCTTTGGTAATGTATATCTTACCTTTGTCTCCACTCTTATCTTTTGAAAAGTTACATTGCATAAAGGAAACTCAAAAGGGCCTGTGTCTACGTAGTTATACCAAATTAATCAAGCCAAGCCAGCACAAATTACGTGGTGGATGACTTTAGTAAATTACTATACTCAATAGATTAATAGTAATGCATGATACTTATGACTTAATTTTAACTATACCACCTCAATTCATACATCAATTAATCTTGATTATGTAATTTTCCAAACTTCACCAAATAGATGAATTAAATGTTGTTTAAATTTTGTTTCATAGCTTAGTAGAAACTTTCATGTATAACTTTCATATGAAACTATAATGGCATTCGGGAAAATGACATGCATTAACTGTCTTGAATAAACTGTGATTGCATTTGCGACGGAGTGAAACGCCCGACCGCTGCCATTTAGTTATTTTAAGACACTCTCTTTGTGTGTTATTTTCTTTCAGCGTTGCCTCATGTTCGGTAATGCGGAAATAAAAGGTCGAACAAAGCATTTGAGATATAACTTACTCCTTTGTTTGATTTAGAAAACAAAATGCTATACAACACGAGCATTTTCGTTAATTTCTAAAATATCCGACATAAGGCTATAAATATTGAAGACAAAATAACTCTTTTAATAACGTGAATTTGTAAAAGGAATGTCTTTTTATCAATTTTCAAAATGAAACCACTAAAACAAATGTTTTGTTAAAGTTGCCAGCAGGCTATATACCTTCCCACAACTGGGCACAGTGGTGCCTCCTCTCATTTCTGAAAGGATTCAGTAATTTGTTAATTTTAAAGTGATTTTAAGACGGCAACGAAAAAAAAAGTGTGTCAAAATTTATTGGATTTAAAGGATTAATTGCTGCAATAAATGTCTTAAGAAAATACTTAAAAGACAACAGCGCACCTTTTTAATTATCTGTAATAGGAAGACTAGTACAAGTATTTTTTTTATTGCAGCCCATCGAAAGTCCACTGTTTTTTTTGCGCCCACAAGCAAATGAAAAGGGCTACCCCGTTAACGCGAAGAGGTGGTGAATGCTTTACGCATACCACGACAGCCGGCTGTCGTGGTTATGTGGGACTCACTATGAC